ATATATACACACACCCCTCTGGGGTTTCTTCTATTTTCTTGTCAGATCTTGTTTTTGTTTACTTCCTCTTATCTCCATGGGGAAGTGGAAAATAATTCTTCTTCCATAAGCCATTCGTGTTGTAAGAGGTGACTAAAATGCCAGAAGCAAGGGGCTAGTAATGCCTTCTCCTGTATACATTACAGGTCAGCCATCACTAATCCAGCATCATTGGGACCCGTAGTGTGCCGGATTAGTGAGTTTGCTGGATAACAGAGTGGTTAGGTTAGAATACACTTAATTAACCTATCAATAGAGACTTTCTGTTACATCTTCCTCATTTTCATCACTGCTTTCTCCTCTGCTGGCTTGCTGCTGTGGATTTACAACCATCTGCACAATTTCTGAGTCAGAATAATGATGAAATTTGAATCAATATAATGATTTCACTCAGTATAATGATGAAATTTGAAATTAGGCTAATTGAAATTAGTGCCGGGTTACTGATGGAACCAGATAACTGATTGCCCGATTAGTGATGGTCGACCTGTACTAATTTTAAAAAGAGAAACTTTCATTTTTCTTTTTAGGTCACCCTGATTCACCATGAGGCCTGGTCTCAGACTGAGCTGCGGAGGCGTTGAACCCTGAAACCCTCTCCAGGTATACCCTGCCTCGGTGGGATATGGCTTGTTCATTGAAAAAAAAAAAAATAATGTAGAAAAATGCATTAGTACAATAGTAGGCATAGAAGAAAGCCACTAATTATACATTTCTAACATGTAATCATAAGTCTTACAATGTTACTTTAAGAACTAGACATAGCTATTATGTAAGACTTTTTGTGTTGTTAATTACAATCATAAGTACACCTACCATCCAACTTAGGACCGAGTTCGGTTCCGAGAAACCGGTCGTAAGTCGAAATGGTCGTAAGTCAAACTTTACTACTGAATATCAACAAAACATTTTTGTAATGACTTTATTTTATTGTTTTATTTTGGTATTTCATGTTTTACTTTACTTTTTATGCTGTTAGTACAGTGGACCCCCGCTTAACGATCGCCTCCCAATGCGACCAATTATGTAAGTGTATTTATGTAAAAGCGTTTGTACTTGTATGTTTGGGGGTCTGAAATGGACTAATCTACTTCACAATATTCCTTATGGGAACAAATCCAGTCAGTACTGGCACCTGAACATGCTTCTGGAATGAAAACATATCGTTAACCGGGGGTCCACTGTACTGTATTTTATACTTTAAGGTTTAGGAAAAACACTGTGTACAACACAAATACAGTAGGGTCCCGCTTTACAGCGTTTCACTTTTCGGCGTTCCGCTAATACGGTCATTTCAAATTATGACCAAAACTCGCTATACGGCTCCCCCCACCTGACTTTCTAATACGGTCACCGCGCCCCACCCGGTTTGTTTACATTCTCTGTGAGACCCGTAAGCACTAAGTCTTTCCATTTTGTCTGGAAACTCCAAAATTTCAAGTGTTTTTAAAAGTTGTTTCATATTTTATATATACTCTGATAATTATACTTATGTATACCTGTACCTAAATAAACTTACATACTGTGCTGGCATGCAGGTACACATTAAAATCAGTAAGAGTGTCTTATGTCTCCAGACGTCATATTAGTAATGATAATAATCATCGAGTCTCATTTAAATGTTGTATATTACGTTAATACACATTTTCATTAATCCATCTATGATATTTTTTCAAAATTATATAATAAACACGATGCATAACATATAAATAAGATAAATACACCCCACAGTAGAATAAATGAACATAAATGTGAGATGTGGTAGCAGACAACTTGCACAAGTGACGCCATATTAGAAATGATAATAATAATCACCGAGTCTCATTTAAATGTCGTATATTACGTTAATATACACATTTTCATTAATCCATCCATGATATTTTTTTCAAAATTATCTAATAAACACGATACATAACCTAATAAGATGATAAATACACCCCACAATAGAATAAATAAACATAAATATGAGATGTGGTAGCCAGATAACTTGTACAAGTGACGCCAAGAATAACATTTTCTCTAATCTAACATAAGAGAAAATGTGTTACTGGGGTAACTGTAGAAAATTATTCCTTTCGTATGTAAGTTTATTCAGGTATACACAAATACAGTTACATAGAGTATCATACATAACAACATATGTGTAGAGAACCCAGGATAACCAAAAAAAGTCAGAGTGATTTATTTCCATTGCCTTCACTCAGAGCGTCATTTCTTCTCAAAATGATGTTACATGAGAATGGGAGTGTTAATGTTGCAGTTTAAAAACTGTAGTGTAAAGCACCCTTCTGGCAAGACAGTGATGGAGTGAATGATGGTGAAAGTTTTTCTTTTTCGGGCCACCCTGCCTTGGTGGGAATCGGCCGGTGTGATAATAAAAAAAAAAAAATCAATGTAGAGACAACTTGTACACAATGTAACTTGTACACAAACCAGACGTGTACAATTTTTTTGTTTACAAAACTTACGTTCGCCTGGTTTGTTTACATAGCTCTGCGCCTGTCCTCTCTCATGCACTCATTCTTTCTCTTTCATTTATTCGTTTTATCTCATTTACTTACTCCTGACCCTACATTAAGACTACAGATATTTTAAGGTAAGTAATGAGTGAACTGTATAAACATTTTATCGCTCTGGGATGCTTAAATATCATAGAATAGTATGGGTGGGTTGGCCTGGTATGGTAGCCCGGCTGACTACCATACATACCACACTTAATTTCTTACAATAAATACTACTCATCTCACCCTAGATTAAGACTACAAATATTTTAAGGTAAGTAATGAGTAAACTGTATATGCATTGTATCACTCTTGGATGCTTAAATGTAATAGAATATTATGTGGCCTGGTATGGTAGCCTGGCTGACTACCATACATACCACACTTGATTTCTTACAATAAATACTACTTGTCTCACCCTAGATTAAGACTATAAATATTTTAAGGTAAGTAATGAGTGCACTATGTGTGTATTGTACTTTTTTATTGTTTTTTGATGCCTGGTTCTATTTCTAACTTAATATATGTTAGTGTAAACTTGTTATCTAGTGTTTGTATGCATTTATAAGTGGAAAAAAAAGGTGTTCCACTTTACGGCGGTTTCCGCTTTACAGCGGTAGCCTGGAACCTAACCTGCCGTATAAGTGGGGCCCTACTGTAGTTGTTTATTTCCCAGAAATTTGGCATAAAAAACAAGGTCGTAAGTCGAGTGGTCGTAAGTCGAGCAGGTCGTAAGTCGGATGGTAGGTGTACAATATTAAAGGTAGCTAATTAAAAAGGTTAATTACAAAAGAATTACATATTATATAACTGATTTCAATGATCTTCAGTTTTATGGAGTAACTGAATAGAGACAGTGAAGATATAGGTTATTTTTGACAAACACTGTGTTGCTGTCTGGATTACATTACAGAAATGAGGTGCTTTTTAACAATAGCTCTGAACTGATTGCCAAAGAGGGAACCATTAGAGACTTTAGGCAGAGAATTCAAGACCTTAGGGCTTTTTATGTCCATGAAGTTTTTACACAGGTTGAGTTGGACATGGGGAAAGTTGAGGAAGTTTATATATCTTTTGTTATGCCTATGAGTTCTGTTGCAGCTATCAAGGAATGTTAGTGTTGAGTTGCAGACTCCAGTCAAGGTGTATTCCTAAGAATTTTCTTTCATCTTGCCTTTCTGCATGTGAATTATTTGTTATGTTGATTTTTTTTTTTAGCTTTATTCACAAACAAATAAAAGAGACTGTCAATATTTATATAAAGTTTAACAGTCTATGGCATGACAGAAGACAGACTAGCCAGGGTACCTATTTTGGGGTCGGAGAGAAGAGGGGTCATAACTACTCATCTTAAAGCCAACTAAATAGGATGTCATTGAAAATGTGCTCTTTCTTATGAGTGTAAATATTACCCACTTTGAATATTAAAACAAAATAACCAACAAATATATTGATAAAGAACACAAAAATCCAGTATAATAAGAGCCTCTCTTAACCCTTTGAGGGTTTTCGTCGTACTAGTACGTCTTACGCGTAGGGGTTTTTGACGTACTAGTACTCATAAATTCTAGCGGCCTCAAATCTAGTGGGAGAAAGCTGGTAGGCCTTCATATGAAAGAATGGGTCTATGTGGTCAGTGTGCACAGTCTAAAAAAAATCCTGCAGCACACAGTGCATAATGAGAAAAAAAAAAACTTTGACCATTTTTTTTAATAAATCAGCGACTTTGCAGTGTATTTTCGTATGGTATTTATTGTTGTATTCTAGTTTTCTTGGTCTCATTTTATACAATGGAAGACATATTTCAGAAATTGAGATGATTTTGACTGGTTTTACAAAGAAAAGTGCCTTGAAATTGAGCTCAAAGTAGCAGAAATGTTCGATTTTTACCAAACTTCAAAAGTAAACAAATCGTGCCAAGCGTGCAATACACGTCAACTGGTGAGACTAATATTCTTTCACAAGTGCACCAATAATATTTATACCATTTTTTACACTAATGCAGTAGTCTGCATAACAGTAAATCTTATATTTTTTGTGAAAATAAAAATTCAAAGTGGAAAGCAAAAGAATATAAGAGGGGCCTTGAGACGTGACTAATGACTAGAGGAAATGTCATTTTAGTGCCAGGAATGTCTTTCTTGTTTATTCTGGACCCTATTCGGAAATTGGCATCTTTTGAAATTTGTGTGAAATTGGAAAAATTGCTAAATTCTGACCACTGTACTGGATAGTTGAATTTCATAAATGAGTGGTTTCTTGCACCCATTCGATAGAAAAAATGGAGTTCTAGCGAAATATTCATGTTTTTTGTCGACTAGTACAGTGAAATTGGCCGAAAATGGGGCTCAAAGTGGGCAAAATCGCCGATGCGTAAACATCGCCGAGACCGCTAACTTTGCGAGAGCATAATTCCGTAAGTTTTCTATCAAATTTCAAACTTTTGGTGTCTTTATGATCGGGAAAAGATTCTCTATCTTTTCATAAGAGAAAATAATTTTTTTTTTTTTTTAATTTGGCCGACCCTGAGAACAAGTTTCGGAGAGGGCCTGTCGACCCTCAAAGGGTTAATGATGTTTCACCCACACAGTGAGCCTTATTAAATAAATTGTTTAGTTTGCGACTTAACCCTTTCATTGTTCATCATGTAGAACTACGTCACGAGGTCAGGATCCATCACGTAGAACTATGTTATGAGGTCAGGATCCATCATGTAGACCTATGTCGTGACGTCAGGGTCCGTCATGTAGAACTACGTTATGAGGTCAGGGTCCATCATGCAGAACTATGTCATGAGGTCAGGATCCATCATGTAGAACTACGTCATGAGGTCAGGATCCATCAAGTAGAACTACATCATGAGGTCAGGGTCTATCACATAGTTCTAAGTCACTTAAATAAGCTGTGGGTGGTAAATTTTGGTCTAGATAAAGAGTGTACACAGAATAAAAAAAATTCTGCCCCATGCTGTGCATAATGGGAAAAAACTGCAACTGTGCATATGGTTTAAAATAATTCTGAGGTGAATTATTTGAGACTCTATGACCGCGGGTTCAATCCCGGCCGGGGGTATGGTTTAATTCTGAGGTGTTTTCTTGAATTTTTTTTATAGTTTCACTGGCTGTTTTTTTAGTATCATTTGATAGAATGGAAGACATACTACTGAAACAGAGATGGTTTTAATTGGTTTCAGGACTAGAAGTAGCATGAAACTGATCTCAAAATAAAAATCTTAGATTTTTGTTGATATTCCAGAGAGTGGGTAAGTCTGTTTCATTGGTTTTTAATAGGTTTGATTTAATTTTTGGGACACTGTAAACCATGACCAATTTTTCCTGGTTATATTTTATTCCAGAAATAAAGTAAATCATCTATTTTTGCATGAATAAGAATTCAAAATGGAAGGCAAGTGTAATATAAGAGAGGCCTGGGAATGTGACTGTTGAACACAGGAAATGTTTGTGTCAGGAATGTCAACATTGATTATGAACTGCTTTTTAATTGGTATCTTTTAATATTGTGTAAAATTGGCCAATTATTGATTTCTGTGCACTTTACAAGGCAACCGACAAAACAGAAGGCATACTAACAAATTTATTTTTTTATTAACATATTGGCTGATTCCCAACAAGGCAGGGTGGCCCGAAAAAAGAAAAACTTTAACCATCATTCACTCCATCACTGTTTTGCCAGAGGTGTGCTTTCATTACAGTTATAAAACTGCAACATTAACACCCCTCCTTCAGAGTGCAAGTGGCAATGTACTTCCCATCTCCAGGACTCAAGTCCGGCCTGCCGGTTTCCCTGAACCCCTTCATAAATGTTACCTTGCTTACACTCAACAGCACGTCAAGTCCTAAAAACCATTTCTCTCCATTCGCTCTTATCTAACTTGCTCACACATGCTTGCTGGAAGTCCAAGCCCCTCATACACAAAGCCTCCTTTACCCCCTCCCAGCCTTTCCTAGGCTGACCCCTTACCCCATTTTCCCTCCACTACAGATTTATACACTCTCTAAGTCATTCTATTCTGTTCCATTCTCTCTACATGTCCAAACCAGCTCAGCAACCCCTCCTCAGCCCTCTGGTTAATAGTTTTGGTAATCCCGCACCTCCTCTTAACCCTTTCAGGGTCCGTCCCGTAGATCTACGGCTTTACGTTCAGGGTCCAAACCGTAGATCTACGCCATGAGCTCAGTTCACTCTGATAAACTGTGAGTGGTACATTTGGGCCTAGATATGAGAGAATACATCTATGTGGTATGTGTGCACCACATAAAACAAATCCTGCAGCACACTGTGTATAATGAGAGAAAAAAACTGAGACCATGATTTTCGATTAAAACAGCGACTTTGCAGTGTTTTTTCGTATGTTTTTTATAGTTGTATTTGCAATTTCTTGGTCTCATTTGATAGAATGAAAGACATATTACAGAAATAGAGATGATTTTGATTGGTTTTAGAACTAGAAATGGCTTGAAACTGAGCTCAAAGTAGCAGAAATGTTAAATTTTTGCCGATGTTCAAGAGTAAACAAACGACCTCACATGTCTAATACACGCCAGCTGGTGGGTCTAATATACATTCACAAATGTGATGATGATATTTATACAATTATTACAATATTGCATAACAGTAAATATTCTATTTTTTGGTGTGAATAAAAATTCATTATGTGAATAAAAAATCAAAATGGAATTTATTTGTAAAGCCTCAAAACATAACTAATGAACAGAGGAAATGTTAGTTTAGTGCCAGGAATGTCTGCATTGTTTATTCTGGACCCTATTTTGAAATTGGAATATTTTGAAATTTGTGTTAAATTGGCCAAATTGCCAATTTCCGATCACTTTATTTTGTAGTTGAAACAGTTGACTTGGCAATTTCTTGTGCTCAATCAATAGAATGGAAGTAATACTAGTGAAATAGCTAAGAATTTGGTCGACTGGAATAATGTAATTGGCCTAAAATGGCAGTCAGTCGGCAAAATCGCTGACACATTAAAATTTGTGAGAGCATAATTTCGTCAATTTTCCATCAAATTTCATACTTTTTGTTTTATTACCTTCACAAAAAGATTCTCTACCATTTCAAAAGAAAAAATAATTTTCTTTTTTAAATTCTTGGACACTGGGGCACCACTTCAGATTTTGGCCTTGGACCCTGAAGGGGTTAATCAACAAACTATGGATTCTCTTCATTATACTAACAAAATAGCTAAGAATTTGGTTGAATGGAATAATAGAATTGGCTTAAAGTAAGCCACAAATTGAGCAAAATCACTGAAGCATAAACTACATTTAGATTGCTAACTTTGCACCTTGACTCGAGCAGCATCAAGGTACCTTCAGCATAGCAGCCCTGAAGTACACTACTGCTAGATAACTTTCCCACATAATGCCCTCTGTAACTTGATCTTCCTCGTCTGCCCTCCTCTCCACCTTACCATAATGTATATTTAGGAAGTAATATTTTGTATTTTCCTATAAACTTGATACAGCTTAATGCAACATTATCCAAAATAAAGTTTGTTAAGCATTACTTTACACTCAGGTGAGCGATGACTAACAACTTTTACTTTTATGTAGTTTCAAATAATTATATTAAATTACACAATACACTGTAACCACTTATCAATTAGCCATACAAAATACTGGCAGAAGATAGTCCATAACAAATAGATGAGCCAGTAATATTATTAAGTCCTGACCCACCTGTCACCTTCCAACATCTCTACTCACATGGTGTACTGACCCACCTGTCCCCTTCCAACATCTCTACTCACATGGTGTACTGACCCACCTGTCACCTTCCAACATCTCTACTCACATGGTGTACTGACCCACCTGTCACCTTCCAACATCTCTACTCACATGGTGTACTGACCCACCTGTCACCTTCCAACATCTCTACTCACATGGTGTACTGACCCACCTGTCCCTTCCAACATCTCTACTCACATGGTGTACTGACCCACCTGTACCTTCCAACATCTCTACTCACATGGTGTACTGACCCACCTGTCACCTTCCAACATCTCTCCTCACATGGTGTACTGACCCACCGGTCACCTTCCAACATCTCTCCTCACATGGTGTACTGACCCACCTGTCACCTTCCAACATCTCTCCTCACATGGGTGTACTGACCCACCTGTCCACTTCCAACATCTCTCCTCACATGGTGTACTGACCCACCTGTCACCTTCCAACATCTCTCCTCACATGGTGTACTGATCCACCTGTCACCTTCCAAAATCTCTCCTCACATGGTGTACTGACCCACCTGTCACCTTCCAACATGTCTCCTCACATGGTGTACTGATCCACCTGTCACTTCCAACATCTCTCTCACATGGTGTACTGACCCACCTGTCACCTTTCAACATCTCTCCTCACATGGTGTACTGACCCACCTGTCACCTTCCAACATCTCTCCTCACATGGTGTACTGACCCACCTGTCACCTTCCAACATCTCTCCTCACATGGTGTACTGACCCACCTGTCACCTTCCGACATCTCTACTCACATGGTGTACTGACCCACCTGTCACCTTCCGACATCTCTACTCACATGGTGTACGGGCCCCACCTGTCACCTTCCGACATCTCTACTCACATGGTGTACTGACCCACCTGTCACCTTCCAACATCTCTCCTCACATGGTGTACTGACCCACCTGTCACCTTCCAACATCTCTCCTCACATGGTGTACTGACCCACCTGTCACCTTCCAACATCTCTCCTCACATGGTGTACTGACCCACCTGTCACCTTCCAACATCTCTCCTCACATGGTGTACTGACCCACCTGTCACCTTCCATAACTTCTCCTTACACAGTACAAGTATTATATAAGTTGTAGTTGTGTGTTTCTCTATAGGATTAACATAGCTTATACTTAACCCTTTAACTGTCGGTCCCGTAATATGCCAAAATTCTAGCGACTTCCAATCTTGTGGGAGAAAGCTGGTAGGCCTACATCTGAGAGAATAGGCCTGAGTGGTCAGTGTGTGCTGTATAAAAAAAATCCTGCAGGATGCAGTACATGAGAAAAAAAAACTAAAAGTGCTTTTGGATTAAAACACCGACTTTACGGATTATTTTTTGTATGGTGTTTATAGTTGTATTCTCGTTTTCTTGGTCTCATTTGATAGAATGGAAGATATATTGCAAAAATAGAGATAATTTTGAAGGGTTTATGAAATTACCTTGAAATTCAGCTCAAAGTAGCAGAAATGTTCAATTTTTGCCGATATTCAAGAGTAAACAAATCAAGTCACGCGTCCAATACACGTCAATTGGCGAGTCTAATATGCTTTCACAAACGTGCTGATATTATTTATACCATTTTTACAATAATGCAGTTGTCTGGATAATAGTAAATCTATTTTTTGTGTGTGTGAATAACCATTCAAAATGGAAAGCAAGCGTAATATAAGAGGGTCTGGAGACATGACTAATGAACACAGAAAATGTTATTTTTGTGCTAGGAATGTTTGTATTGTTAATTCTGGACCCTATTTTGAAATTGGCCTTGAATGTATATGAAATTGGCCAAATTACCAATTTCTGATCTTTATTGGGTACTTGAAATCGGTAAATGGGCAGTTTCTTGTACTCGATCGATAGAATAAATGGAGTTCTAGCGAAATAGCTATGAGTTTGGTTGACTGAAACAATGGAACTGGCTGAAAATAGGGCTCAAATTAGGCAAAATCATTGATGCATAAATATTGCCAAGATCGTTAACTTCGCAAGAGCATAATTCCGTAAGTTTTCTATTAAATTTTGTACTTTTGATGCCGTTACCATCAGGAAACGATTCTCAATCATTTCATGAGAAATTATTTTTTTGTTTTAAATTCTTAAACGAGCAAGTTTGTGAGCAGCAGCGGTCTCGACAGTGAAAGGGTTAAGTGAATTACTGTACACTAAAACTTACTTAAGTTTTTTTTTTTCTTACTTTACATCATAAAGATCAAGTTAACACAAGTAATACCTGGTGCTTTTATTTCAAGGAAATTACTTAATACCTTCTCAAGAGAGTCTGAGTTGATGTAAACTTTCATTCAAACACTCTACATCAGTAACATTCTCACTGCTGATACTTTCAGTAACTTCTGCACACTCTTTGTCCTCCAGCAAACTATCATTCTCTTGTTGCTGTTCCTTTCCTTCTTGGCTCTTACTATCTTGTTTCTCAACATCCAAAGTCTCTGATTGCATTGTATTCTTATGCTCCATTTCCTGAAATTAAAATACAATGGAATTATGAATAGAACAGACAATAAAATCTTTTTTTCAAATTTCTTCATACAGTATAATGAAATTCAAGAATTAGTAGTATAAAGCCTATAAAAATAAACAAAATAAAATAAATTATCAGGAGTGAAAACATCAGAAGAGAAAGCAGAGACAAGCATGATAAGAGAGAAAAAGACATTATCTTAGTCACTAATAATTTTACTCAGAAAACCAAACAAATCCCCCCAGGCTCTGATAAACTATTCTCAAGGCTAATAATGTAATGTAAGGAGCAACTTAACAAACCTCTGGATAGTCTTTTCAATAGATCACTACAAACTGGCATAGTGCCTGATAAATAGAAAATGGCAAATGTGATAGCTATCTACAAAGCAAGAGGCAGGTCCTTAGCTCCAAATTACAGACCAATTAGCTTAACCTCCACTGTGGGAAAATTCATAGAATCCATAATTCCCAAGGCTATCTGAAGCCAATTTGAAAGATGTATATTGATCAGTGAATCACAGCAAAGTCTGACAAATGGGCATTCCTGCCTTATAAATTTACTAACTTTTTGCACTAAGGTATTGGAGGAGTTAGATCAAGGTAATGAATATGATGATGTGTACATGGGCTTCAGTAAGGTTTTGATAGAGTTCCACATCGGAGATTGCTGAGGTAGGTAGAGGCACACAACAGGAATTTTTTTTCCTGGACAGTGTAGATGACCAGTAGGCAACAGTGTGTTTGCATAAATAGGGCAAAATCAGAGTGGGAATGCATCATAAATGGTGTTGCACAGTGGTTGTTGGTGTTGGGCCCTTTGTTGTTCACAATTTACATACATGACAGAGATGAGGGAATAAACAGCGACATTAGTAAGTTTGCTGATGACACCATAATAGGCCATCAGATTAATTCTGATGAGGAAACAAAACAAACAAATTTTATTCCTTTGCAAAGGTTACAATGCATGATTATATTTTATGAAGTGCTGTTAAGTACAAAGGAAGCCACTAGCATGCCAGGGCATTTTGGGCAGACAATTACTAATGCTCACACACTACTTAAAACCTGACATAGGTTACAATGTTAACTGTCAAAGTAGAAGATACTCATGACTTCATAATGAACAAGGATCCGAACACTGAATGAAACAGAGTTAGGCAGGTGTTACACAATAATATTCCATGCTATAAAGATACAAATAGAAAAATCCTGTGCAAAATTTGTTGTGCAACTATTTTTCACAATAAAATGATCTTTTTCTTTACTGAATGTATGGTACATTGTTTACAACTGTAATAAAAAACTTTAGTACTATTTTTTTGTTTTTATTTTTTGTAATTTCTTTATTTGCAAGTGTGTGGAAGAGTTTCCTGTGCACTGATTACTACTAAGCAACAGCCTAAATATTTTTGTGATCTGATGTATTTAATGGTATTACTTTAACATATTACATTAAAACACATTATAATACCTTGATCAGTATGGTACTGCATAGTAACGTATTTTTTGACGTGCATTAACCGCACTATGCAAGTTATTGCATAGTGCAGGGCAGGAGAGGGCAGGAGGTGCACTATAAGGGTCATAAACAACACTATGGAAAAGGGAGGTAATGAAGCTTGATCCAGGGAAAGAAAGAGTAGTTTCAATTACTTAGATCAAGAGCTCTTCACCTTCATAAAGGCATCTTCTCCCTTGAGGGATACAAGAAAATAATTATAATAAAAATAAACTTACCTCACGTGTTTTAAGATACGCAACATAATTATCATAATGTTCACGTGAAGAAAAATGGACTTTTGCATCTGTAAATGACCCCATTAGTTTTGTTGGACAGATCCTGCAATAATATTCTGCTGACTTGTCTATGAAGTGCAAACCTGAAATATATAGGACAATTATTATACACTAAGAGATATTGTTTATTTAGTGGAGGACCAGAGTTCAGCAAGACATTCATGTGTAAATTAAGATGTTGATGAAGTATGTGAAAGATGGTGGAGTTGTCAGGAAGTGGAATAGCCTAGAAGGTGACGTAGTGGAGGCAGGAAACATATGTAGTTTTAAGACGAGTTTAAAAAAGCTCATGGAGCAGGGAGAGAGAGGACCTAGTAGCGATCAGTGAAGAGGAGGGGCTAGGAGCTATGACTCGACCCCTGCAACCACAAATAGGTTAGTGTACACACAACCATATATACACACATACACACACACACACACACACACACACACACACACACACACACACACACACACACACACACACACACACACACACACACACACATATATATATATATATACAGTGGACCCCCGCATAACGATCACCTCCGAATGCGACCAATTATGTAAGTGTATTTATGTAAGTGCGTTTGTACGTGTATGTTTGGGGGTCTGAAATGGACTAATCTACTTCACAATATTCCTTATGGGAAGAAATTCGGACAGTACTGGCACCTGAACATACTACTGGAATGAAAAAAGTTCGTTAACCGGGGGTCCACTGTATATATATATATACAGTGGTCACTCGCTTTTCGTAGTTCTCGGCAATCGTAAATTTCGCCAATCATAGGGGTATTTTCATATAAACATGGACTCGCTTTTCATAGGTTGACTCGCAAATAGTTCGTCTGGGACGCGTGCGCACAGTGTGAGCCGGGGCGGCCTCCCTACCCAGCCAGTCTGGCATTGTTTACCAGTGAGTGAAGGTCCCCGCAAGTGCTCCTACGAAATATTTCGTATTCCACTCATTTTAGTGCTTCCAATTACTAAATAAGCTACCATGGCTCCAAAGAAATCTCCTAGTGCCAAGCCTGTGGTAAAGAAGGTGAGAAATATGTACAGTGACAAAGTCTTGGGCCATTTTCGGGAAGTGTTAATGAGACGCCAGAAACAGAGCTCTCTCCACAGTTATTTTGTAAGACAGGACTAGAGTGACTCTCAAGGTGGTCCTAGTGGCATTAAGAAACAGAGAAGAGAAGCAACCCCAGAGAAGCAATTGGTACCTGAGGTGTTGCTGGAAGGGGATTCCCCTTCCAAACTATAAACAATCCACTCTCTCTCCTCCTCCAGTCTCCCATACACTAAGAAGAATCTCCAATAAAGGTAAGTGTTATGCTGTTAATGTTTCATTCATCATTTCCCATTGTATTGTTTATGTACTATATGTATATTTCATGGAAAATTATTTTTTTTGTTTTAATACTTCTGGGTGTCAGGAACGGATTAATTGTATTTACATTACATTTATAGTAACGGCTCCAGGAACGGATTAATTACGAAAAACGAGGGACCACTGTATATATATACAGGAAGGCCCCACTTATACGGCCGGTTAGGTTCCAGGCTACCGCCATAAAGCGGAAACTGCCGTAAAGTGGAACACCCTTTTTTTCCACTTACAAATGCATACAAACACTAGATAACAAGTTTACACTAACATATATTAAGTTAGCAATAGAACCAGGCATCAAAAAACAATAAAAAGTACAATACACACATAGTGCACTCATTACTTACCTTAAAATATTTATAGTCTTAATCTAGGGTGAGACAAGTAGTATTTATTGTAAGAAATCAAGTGTGGTATGTATGGTAGTCAGCCGGGCTACCATACCAGGCCACCCCACCCACACATATATTCCATGATATTTAAGCATCCCAGAGCGATAAAATGTATATACAGTTCACTCATTACTTACCTTAAAATATAGGATGAGATGAGTAGTATTTATTGTAAAAAATCAAGTGTGGTATGTATGGTAGTCAGCCGGGCTACCATACCAGGCCAACCCACCCACACATATATTCCATGATATTTAAGCATCCCAGAATAAAATGTATATACAGTTCACTCATTACTTACCTTAAAATATTTGTAGTCTTAATGTAGGGTCAGGAGTAAGTAAATGAGATAAAACGAATAAATGAGAGAGAGAAAGAATGAATGCATGAGAGAGGACAGGCGCAGAGTTATGTAAACAAACCAGGCGAACGTAAGTTTTGTAAACGAAGTGTACACGTCTGGTTTGTGTACAAGTTACATTGTGTACAGGTTGTCTCTACATTGATACGGTAGAATAAATAAAGAAGAACACTCCCATTCTCATGTAACATCATTTTGAGAAGAAATGATGCTCTGAGTGAAGGCAATGGAAATAAGTCACTCTGACTTTTTTGGGTTATCCTAGGTTCTCTACACATATTTTTATGTATGATAATCTATGTAACTGTATTTGTGTATACCTGAATAAACTTACATACATACGAAAGGAATAATTTTCTACAGTTACCCCCAGTAACACATTTTCTCTTAAGTTAGATTAGAGAAAATGTTATTCTTGGCATCACTTGTACAAGTTAACTGGCTACGACATCTCATATTTATGTTTATTTATTCTATTGTAGGGTGTATTTATCATCTTTTATGTTATGTATCGTGTTTATTATATAATTTTGAAAAAAAATATCATGGATGGATTAATGAAAATGTGTATATTAACGTAATATACAAACATTTAATAAGACTCTGGTGATTATTATTATTATTATTATTAGCATTCTAATATGGCGTCACTTGTGCAAGTCTCTGCTACCACATCTTATATTGTTTATTTATTCTATTGTGGGGTGTATTTAACTCTTTTATGTTATGTATCGTGTTTATTATATAATTTTGAAAAAATATCATGGATGGATTAATGAAAATGTGTATATTAACGTAATATACGACATTTAAATGACTCGATGATTATTATTATCATTACTAATATGACGTCTGGAGACATAAGACACTTACCAATTTTAATGTGTACCTGCATGCCAGCACAGTATGTAAGTTTATTTAAGTACAGGTATACATAAGTATAATTATCAGAGTATATATAAAATATGAAATAACTTTTAAAAACATTTGAAATTTTGAAGTTTCCAGACAAAATGGAGAGACTTAGTGCTTACTGAGCTCATGGAGAATGTAAACAAACAAGGTGGGGCGCGGTGACCGTATTAGAAAGTCAGGGTGGGGGGAGCGTATAGCGAGTCTTGGTCATAATTTGAAATGACCGTATTAGCGGAATGCCATAAAGTGAAACGCCATAAAGCGGGGCCTTCCTGATGGATTTATGAAGGATGAGGTTAATCATAGAATTGATGAGGGAAAAAAGGTGAGTGGTGCGTTGAGGTATATGTGGAGTCAAAAAACGTTATCTATGGAGGCAAAGAAGGGTATGTATGAAAGTATAGTAGTACCAACACTCTTATATGGGTGTGAAGCTTGGGTGGTAAATGCAGCAGCGAGGAGATGGTTGGAGGCAGTGGAGATGTCCTGTTTAAGGGCAATGTGTGGTGTAAATATTATGCAGAAAATTCGGAGTGTGGAAATTAGGAGGAGGTGTGGAGTTAATAAAAGTATTAGTCAGAGGGCAGAAGAAAGGTTGTTGAGGTGGTTTGGTCATTTAGAGAGAATGGATCAAAGTAGAATGACATGGAAAGCATATAAATCTATAGGGGAAGGAAGGCGGGGTAGGGGTCGTCCTCGAAAGGGTTGGAGAGAGGGGATAAAGGAGGTTTTGTGGGTAAGGGGCTTGGACTTCCAGCAAGCGTGCGTGAGCATGTTAGATAGGAGTGAATGGAGACGAATGGTACTTGGGACCTGACGATCTGTTGGAGTGTGAGCAGGGTAATATTTAGTGAAGGGATTCAGGGAAACCGGATATTTTCATATAGTCGGACTTGAGTCCTGGAAATGGGAAGTACAATGCCTGCACTTTAAAGGAGGGGTTTGGGATATTGGCAGTTTGGAGGGATATGTTGTGTATCTTTATATGTGTATGCTTCTAGACTGTTGTATTCTGAGCACCTGAGCAGTGATAATGTGCGAGTGTGGTGAAAGTGTTGAATGATGATGAAAGTATTTTCTTTTTGGGGATTTTCTTTCTTTTTTGGGTCACCCTGCCTCGGTGGGAGACGGCCGACTTGTTGAAAAAAAAAAAAAAAAAAAAAAAAAATATATACAAACACACACACACACACACACACACACACACACACACACACACATTTTTTTTGTTTTTTTCAACAAGTCGGCCGTCTCACCCAAAAAAGAAAAAAAATCCCCAAAAAGAAAATACTTTCATCATCATTCAACACTTTCACCACAACTCACACATTTTCACTGTTTTTGCAGAGGTGCTCAGAACACAACAGATTATATATATATATATATATATACTATATATATATATATATATATATATATATATATATATATATATATATATATATATATATATATATATACATATATATATACATATATATATACATATATATATACATATATATATACATATACATATATATATATATATATATATATATATACATATATATATATATATATATACATATATATATATATATATACAATATTATATAATATATATATATATATATACATATATATATATATATAATAATATATATATATATATAATATATATAATATATATATATATATATATATATATACATACAATATATATATATATATATAATACATATAATATATACATGTATATATATACATACATATATATATATATACATATATATATATATACATATATATATATATATACATATATATATATATATATATATACAGTGGACCCCCGCATAGCGAACGCCTTGCATAGCGAACAATCCGCATAGCGAACGCTTTGTTCGCTAAAATTTTGCCCCGCATAGTGGACAAAAACCCGCTCAGCGACCTTCGTCCGAGACGCGTCCAATGTGCGCCCTCAGCCAGCCTCACATGTGCCGCCCGTCCCGTTGTTTACCAGCCAGCCTCCGCGGTAACATTCAAGCATACACT